TTATTTTAGACATTAAATTAGGTGATTGTTTTTTAAAACACTTTATAGAACAAACAGGATAGCTCAAAACCCCAACGTCAAAACACGACACTGTAGTTGTCCAAAGCACTTTTCGGTAACAAAGTTACCTTCTTCAGGGACTTCAGTCGTGTTTTGGCGTTGGGGTTTTGAACTATTCTGTTTGTTCTACAACAACCGCCACAGTTTTTCCAATCTTCATATTTGAAAACACTTTTTAATTTGCTTATTTTAAATTGACTTACTGTTAATATAAAATGATACCGAGGGCTGACAAATTGGCTACTTGTGTGGGTCAAGCCAACTATTTCTTTTTTGGCAAATATAATTACCGACATTTCACGGACAAACCCCATGCGCAAACGCAAAATATCAGGGTGGTACTTTTGCATAAGTAATTTGGTGAGTAGCCATGCGGCGCGCTAATTTCATACGGACAGACCCTTATTGTTAGTTCTTTTTCTTTCTTCCTATACGTCTCTTTCGGTTTTCGTTCTCATCGCAAAATGTAGGCAATTACCTTCGTGTATACAAGTACATATTATATAATTTATGTTTTGGGCAATTTTCTTCTTCCAGAAANTTTCCATGCTTTAATATTGTCGGAGGTATTTTTAACCAACACCATCGAAAAGAGCATCGTTAAAAACATAGAAACACTGGCTATCGAATATTTTTTCGTCGCACTCATTACGTGGCAAGGGTTCAAATGGAAATGTGTTCTCTGAGCATTTATGGGTTAATGTGACGTGGTATACACCATATGAATATCGTTTTCTATTACTTTTAAGATAATTACGACAAATATTAACAATTTATGAAAAACACTTTTCAAAAACAATTTTCGCAGACCTGTGTAATTTGAATACTCTGCCTTTGCGCTAATGACCCAAATAGGAAATTATTTACTAAACAACAATAAATTACGTCACTAGGCATAACATACGTACTTACTTCATAAATTCAGTTGGCTTTTTAAAGTATTGGTAACCCCGGTCATAGTCATATATTTCTCATTTGTAAAAGCGATTTCCTGTTCCACTTCCTAAAAGGTAGGCGCCAATGGAGTTAATGGTCGTTATTTATTGCGGGAGATGTCTACATAGAAAACGCTTGAAAATTAGTTAAATTATATTTTCTAACGCACAACCCGAGGCCATGCCAGCAGTTACTAATTAAATTGCGTTGCCTTTAATTAAATCGAGGATTTTCTCACGCCTTTATCAGATCATTATCTTTAATAGGTAAAGTATATTTCATAAGAATGGCTAAGTTGTTTGTCGTATTACCATTTAATTTTATAGTGTTTCCAATTTTCGCAAGCCGTCATGACACAATTATTACTTCCTCTAGCAAGTTCACAATCTTTAATGTCATTATTTTCACGATTTTATATGGAAAAGGTTAGAGAAATAAGAAATAGGCAAGATGGGTTGGTAGAACAACTTCTGAAACATGAAGGATTAGTGAGGCACATATTAGAAACAGAAACAGGAGTTAAGAGGAGCAGGGATAGTTTTAGATTAGATTACTCTTCGCAAATAGATATGTAGTTTAGAAATAGTAGGAAGTAGGAGAAACCATTTGTAGGGAAGGTAGGACAAGGGTTACTTTTTTCTTTTGAGGTACGGGACCCTAAAAACAGAATTTTAAAACTTAGGAAAAGAACAGCAACCAATTTTTATCAATTATCAAAAAGTAAAGCAAAATTGTATTATTTATGATAATCCAATGGTTTTTCAACATCACCATCGAGGAGTAATATTCATAAGAGATCGTCCATATAATACCCTGAGATAAAAATGTTCAGTCTCTCAGACTCTCTGAAAGCGAGACTCGAGTCTCCGTCTCTCATCGAGTCTCTCTGGTGTCGCTGAGAGAGACTGCCGAGAGACTGTCAAAAAAACTGTTTAGCGTCTCTGAACGAGAGACTCGAGTCGCTCATAGAGAGATCCTCATTTCGTATCTGGTCTCTGAACGAGAGACTCGAGTCGCTCATAGAGAGATCCTCATTTCGTATCCACTCTCTGAACGAGAGACTCGAATCTCTGAATTAACAATTTTATCGTTCGAGTCTTTTATACAGAGACTGTGAGATATCCATAAAAACACCTAGGCAATAACTGAGAGACGGTGAGAGACGCTCTCAGAGACACTGAAAGACTCTGAGAGACTGGAGAGAGACTGAAAATTTTTGTCTAGGGACGTCACTCAGAATTTCGCCTTTTTGAACCCCTCCCGTCCTATTTGTCACATTGTCACACCAAGTCACGCACTTTCAGACACCCCCTAACAAATTTTACGTCACAGAAGCTAGTCCTCTCCTACAAGCAATTTCTTGTGATTAAAAATAGCAATGATTACTTGCCAATTATTGCCAAATTAGGAAAAAGTATAACTGATGAACTGCGAACGTCACAAATTTCTTAGACCCTCCCTCACCCTTATTTGCCAATGTATTTTATGAACGACTTCTAAGGTGTAGATCTCACGCCGCGCGAATTGAACTCTCTTTTTTGGAATAATAATACAAAATAAAATTGTACACACTTTACAAATATACAGTTAGTTATACCTGAGTGATACCTTCTATAAATAATGTTGGTTTGGTTGCATGTTTGTTTACAGTTGTTCGAAGAGCGATCTCGGGGTCGGATGCTTAGCTTTGTGTGTACGCCTGGAGGCAACGATGTCGGTCATATAATCGAAATGTGCTGGCATCAGTGAAGATTGATTACAACCCGCAGAGTTCATTTATAAAACACCTGTTTACGTTACTCAGATTTCACTAGTATTCTCACTGTAACTCTATATTATGTTCGAGAAGCGATTGTCAAATATCGTGTATCTAATTATTATTTTTAGGACCTCGCAGGCTCCCGTTTTTCTTTTTTTTCTGTTGTCTTCCTTTTTGGCACTTCGACAATGGTTATTTGAGCCGTCCAGCTGTCACAGTGACAAGTTGAAATTTTCTAGATGACGTGAAAGAACATTTTCTAAAGTAACCTATCAAATAACACTTTTCTACTTAATAAGTTTTTATAAACTACGACATTTCATTGAGGTACTAAACTGATTCAGGTGTGACGTAAATTTCATAAACTGACCCCTATTTGTACTAGCATTGCTCGTTGTCGAAATTTGACCAACCCTGTCACATTATTTTGCCTAAACGTCTTGTGTGAAAGAATCAAAACTTTTTGAAAGCGTGAGCACAACCTTAAATGACCTTGAAATTCGTGGTCAAGGTCAAAAATGCACTTATTGGCCAGTTATTCTACTGACACCATGTATAGGTATACATTAATGACGATTTTTCGAGAAATCCTTTGGGATAACCGATAAACTCCATTTAATCTTACCTTTCTATCTAAAAGAATTGATTATTCTAAAAGCCTCAAGCTTTGAAAATTAAGCATTGTAAACAAGTGAATAGAGAATAACATAAAATAATACAACAGTAAAATTGTAACAAATGTTATACAATCATTTCGTGTGGCACAGGTGTCATTAGATTGTATCTATTCCAATCAGGAAACTCTACCTGTACATAATAAAATTTGCTGTGTAATTAAATTCTGACCCGTTAATTATAAGGTCACAGAGCATTTAAATTTCAAAGCGATCTGATACCATCTTCTAATTTGAATCGGATCCCAATCGATTTTTATTTAATCGCGGTTCGAGCAGCTAATTTTAGTTTTGCCGCATCACTAACCAGACTTACACTCTAACTACTCGTTTAATATTTTACCGTATTTATCTGTAGTTTAAAATTGTAGAGAAATTGCACTGACGTTATCGACATAGTGTGTATTAACAAATCCAGAAAGGTTTCGAGCCAAATTCCTCAGCTCTAAGTTAGGGAAATAGGTATCGATTCGTCATGAATGAAAAAAAAAAATATTTTAAAGGTACTACCTTTTTTGCACTGACTCAAGGTCAAGTAAGAGTGAAACAAAAATATTGGTATGCAAGGGAAAGAAAAGTAGGGAAAGAACGAATATAAAGAAAATTAAAAGCTGATATTCGGTATTAGGAAGTCAGATAAGTCAAGACGTAATGAGTAGTAGGGAAGCAGAGGATAGCGCAGTGTCGAACCGCCTTCAATAAAAAGTCACCTCTATGATCACGAATTTAGAAATTCTAAAAAGATTGTTGAAGGTGTATGATTGGAGTGCGGCGATGTACGAATGCGAAACATGGACGATGGGCGAGGCGCAAAAGAAAAGGTTAGAAGCATTGGAAATGTGGTGTTACAGACGAATGATGAGGATACCGTAGGTAGATATGGTTAAAAATGAGGAGGTATTAGAAAGAATAGGTGAACAGAGGACTCTATGGAAGTGTGGAAATGCGAAAAGTAGCTCAGGATAGGAAAGAGTGGAGGTGCGTGTCAAACCAATCTTAGGACTGACGACCTTATGATGATGTTGGTGAATCAAGGTCGAACAGGGGAGTTACGTTTCTAGTCAAGCCGACAGCTCCCTAGAAGTAAGGGGTCAATGCAGAGGATGAAAGTAATTTAGTTTGTTTTTATTTACGTCACCGAGATAATGTCTTCTCCATCGTTGAAGTAAAAAATAAGTGTTCCTATTTAAGAAAAGATTTGACCTTTAAATGGACTAAAAGCTAGTGGGCAGCCCGTCCTACTATAAGAGCATCTTACTCTAAATCCTGCTCTTAGTCTATAGAAAGTTTCACCGAACTATTCCAAGAGGCCTTATCTTATTATTTAATAAAATTAATTTCAATCTGATAACGTTAATCATTCTTGAGACAAACAGTTTTGGTCGACAAACAGACGGCAGAGTGTAGATACGGATTTTCTTTTTTCGTTCTGAGATATGAAATACCAATAATCTTACTCTTCTATATTATGAATTTTATTTTACTTTCATGGTAGTGCAATGTTTTAAGAACTGCTGCAAGAATACCAAAGATTCGAAGATACACAATGATTTTCGTTTCTCTTGTTTCAGTTAGCAAGAAAGTTAAGTCTTGCAGATGTGGTCTTAACATTGGACGAGATATTGTCCATCAACAGTACCTTTGGAGAACCATGGAAACGTAATCGTGGAGGATTTTTACGGCGACGTGGTATTACATTCGTATCAAGTAAGTGACAATGGCACATTTTTTATACAGGCGGCATTCCGAATCCATAAACGATGCACGTACACATTCGTGTATATATTATGAACGTGTGTATAATATTGTGAAGTGTTGGTTCAATAATCCGCGATAGAATGCAGAACATGAGTTTGGGATGCGTAGGCCGTTTCGTAAGTAGATATTATACGATCCCTGTCGGTATAATATTTTCTGCAAAAGGATTTGTGAATGCAACACAAACGTATGAATGTATATGACTTAGTAATAATAATGATAGTAATGACACGTCGGGTTTACGAAAAGGAGTGTCAGTTTTATGGCCTGCGCAACTTTAGGTTATAATTAGTGGCCGTACGCCAGCCAAGTCTTTCATATATTCGTTTGTTTGGTCGCCTGCGCTCAACATTCCACGCTATTCAACATCGGCATGTTACAAAATACAGCACACTACTTACCTGTTATAATAGCTCTTTAACTGTCGGAAAATGAAGTAACTCAAGGCTGAGTTTAAACATTTATTGTGTACCTATTTGAAGAGGCGTATCTATCTATAATCGTGCAGCAATGTCTTTACGTAACATTCTCACCAATATCCAAATATTTTATATTTAACGAATCTCCAGTAATATAAGCCGTTCTCGAGGTTTACGCAAGAAAGCGTTTTCTATAATGGCAACTGAAGTTTAAGATGGCGATTAGTTAACCTTCCGTTTAAACGTACACTGAGGTGTAGATCGATATATTGATTCATGCGTGCACCTATTTGCATACAATACACAGAGGCGAATTCTGTTGCGAAGAGAACGGTAGCGTCACTCGTGCTTAAAGTGTCTCAGGCTCGACACTGACTAGAGTCGCAATTATACAAAAGTTTATATTAGTGTAAAGTCAAGAAAACCTGCACTTAGGTATTCATTAGTAAAATATCCCTTCGATTCGATTTATATGCTTAGTTTATTCGTTTTACTACATTCATTATATCAAAATAAAGCGTTTGCACCGGTAAGCATTTACTTTAGATAAATCTTATAAACATAAAAAAGTTACTTAGGTAAATATACCTAATCCTGTGCATTGGCCGAAGTAATGACTAACGACCAACCCAGAACATTTGAAAGATAATGTCTAGAAGCATTGCAGACTGCATCTCGTGATAACACTGCAACTTAAGGGGTATAAAAACGATGCACAAAAATCAAAAAGTACCCCCGTTAATGAACCGTCAATAACTGAGAACACTCGCCATGTTGGCGGTCGCATTATCTCATCGCTCTTTGTTATAGCAAGCGTAAAGTGAAGAAACATAGGTACTTACTCGTAACCTTCGCAACAGCTGGTACGCAGACAAGCCAATTGCACGTAATGACTCGTAACAGCCAGCACTCAGTAATTATCTATCGTTTGATTGGCAAAGTTGCTGCTATTGCCACAAAAGACAAAAATATCAAGCAAAACACAATGATATGGTGACCACATATGGACGATGCAATGAGAATACACTGGCTGCGTCACGCAGGAAATGACGAAATCGTTTTGTGATTAATGGTTGCAGTCCAAACAGGGATTCCGGTGTAGATGATTTTAACGGAGACTTCCTTGCATTCGTACCATTAACAAAAAAAAAGGGGACGAACGTGTACTTGTGTACATGCGTAAGAAGCAAAACTTTTTTAGATTGTATATTATAGTGGTATTTTTAAAAACAATTGGCTTAAACTACTACATTAACTAATTACTAAACACCAGAAAAGTACAACATTATTTCGAGCAGACGATGCGATATATTGTTTTAGTTTTGTTAAAAACTTTTACGCTTGCACACACATATGTAATAAAACAGTAAGTCCTTGGCCACCATTCTGTGAAAACTATCAACCTGGATTCTAATTTTGAACTTGTTCGTTCTCATCATTCTCATAGCTACCAAATCTCTACATATAGCGTTTAATCTGCTGTCTGGGGCTATTTATTAATCTCACTATTAATCGTGAGGCCCGAGCCTAACGCGGAAAAGTTTAGGGGCCCTGAAACTGTAGTTTTCGTTTATCACAGCCCTATGTGTGTATGGGTATGTAGTTTTCGCCAGTAAAGTACCGTAAATTTCTGCCATTAGGGGTGAAGCCTAAATTTGCCGCCCTTCCTACTTTCTTTGTTTATTTTTTATAATATGGGGACGGAGGTCTAGTTGGTAATTATGTTAGTAATATTTATTTATTTACTGACAACGAACGTATTGTTTTGCAAAGTGTTGATATTCCATATAATATGTATTTTGCATTATGAACAATAAATGTTTTTAAATGTGTATTTTCTTGTGAATTTTCGACGCATTCTTCCAATTAAATAATAAAAATTATTTTGTAGTTTTAGTGCATCACCTTAGATGTACCTACTTATAAGTAAAAACGTATCCAAGTTTCATCTTCAAAAGTACCGACGGTTTTTCTATTTGCAATAAATTACCGCCAATGACGCCATGGTGTGCTTACATCATTGCACAAACAACTGCACATTACAGCTATTGAACTTAATTTGTTGAAATGGAGTATCTTACAATTAAGTCCACTTTTTTATTCTCTCGCAAAAACAATCTGTACGCGAGGATTATTACGTACACACCAGTTATAAAAACTGTAACGGATATGGGAAAAAATGTACAAAACTGAATTAATAAGAACGGATAATCGTGATCAATAATTTATCAGACCTACCAGACGAAGATTGCGATTTCGATCTTATTTGATCTCATCAGCACGGTACGAGCAGTATCGATCGTGCTGGGTCAGTATGTTGCCGTTATCTTTTGATATTTGCTGTTAACTGAAGTATTTCAACATGGGGAATCAAATACCTATAAGGATATTCTGCGTTGTCCTGTAAAATATAACCTGGTAACTTTGGCTAATGATTGCACTATTTAGATATGTGATAAAATGTAAGACTAATCAATGAAAACTTCTTGTGATTAATTATTAATGTTATATGAAGATTGGAAAAACTGTGGCGGTTGTTGTAGAACAAACAAAATAACTCAAAACCCCAACGCCAAAACACGACACTGTAGTTGTCCTCTTAATTTCTTATCAGCTTGCGTTTGGATGAGTCTAACCGAAAATTGCTTTTCAATTTATCATTAAACACATAAAAAGCATCTTTCACAATGCTTTTTAGAAAACTAATGAAATTCCTGGACAGCCATATTGATTAAACTGTGTCCGTATGCCAAATCCCAATGGGAATACCGCTCTGGATGAATCATTCCTGCACCTGCATTATTTTTCCCTGTAGTTATTTTTCCCTGTAATTACGTCACAGATCATGATGACGCCTCGTTTGACGAACTTGTTTTATGATTAAAACTCACGTTAGTTTTTTATGTTATGTTACGAAACGCTTGTAATATGCTTTGACTAGGTCTGTTGATTGTATCTGATTGATTGTCTTTGATTGTGATTGTCTGATGATTGTCACTTTTCTCTCTTTGATTGTGATTGTCTGATGATTGTCACACTTCTTATGCTTAAAAAAAAAACTTTTTGGGTGTTTCATTCCCACCAGCCAGTAATGCTGGTTGGTCCAAGATAAGAAAGTGGGGTATTAGGGGTGCGGTTCGATAAGAAGGGAAAGGGAGAGATGGGTGTACGTGCGAGTGTCCAGAGGGCAACAATGTCAATGATTTGAAGGTGATCAATTGTATCGACTATTGCACTCCAACGAAAATAATATATTTTATGACTGCAAAATAAAGATAAGGAATACGAACTATTTGCAATATTATGATGTTGGGATAAACCCCTAATGACACAGCTATCATTAATAGTCAATATTAAAATACACAATAGAAAAGGTACCTAAGAATAAACTAATTGTTTGCAAAGTAAACAAAATAACACAGTCATAAACCTCATTTAAAGTAAAAGTAACTTATTTTAAATAGCTACGAACCCCAATTACAAAATTACAACTAAAAGCTGTAACGAAACAATAGATACAGAACGTTGACACTCAACAGATCATATGCAAGAGTTTTGCTTTGTGCAAAATATTTATAAGTGCATGAGGTGTGTTCGTTTGTCTTTTTTGTGTATTTTTCAAAAACCAATTGTACGAATGCGTTTTTCTGTCGCGCTGAATCGACTTTTGCGTTATGCGCATGAGCGAACCGTACAATACGCCTACGGTTTGACTTTTTTGCTCAACCCCTGTATACATTCAATTAGCTTGAAGGAGTATTTCACTAAGAATTTCCGTTAAAGCTTCATTGCGCTAATCGCACGTTGTACTTTTTTGTATTGCACGCTGTTTTGCTTTCGCAGCGAGTCCATCGAGGACATTCAGGCAATAAAAAATTTTTGTGATATAATCGTTGCTATAATTTATATGAAATTATGTCGACTAGCTCGGTAATGACGTAATTAGTTACTGCAATCAGTGTCCGTGCTAAAATCGGTAACCTTTAAGATTACTACTTATTATGGCTTATTTTCAGTGGTATTTTCCCCATAAAGAGCCAGGCGTCCTGCTAATGTGAGACGATAATGATGAGCATTAGTTACTTTATAGAAATGAAATGTGTCTCTAAAGGATTCCGCTTTTCCGTTAATATGGCAAAATATTGCCTGGGTATGCCTGCTTGTGCAATTAAATACAGTGAGTGAGTATGCATGCTTGTGCGTGCAATCGAGACTCCCAAGCCGCAAGATTCGGTTGGATAAAATGCTTAACCCAAGTTCAATGCAAATATTTCGATGTACAGAGTGATGAAAACCGTGTTCAAGTTTTTACGATTTCTGGCGCTTGTTTAAATTCGTTATTAGTTATGACATTTTGTTCGTGATTCCTGCTGTCAACAATGTGAAATAAGGTTTCTTATTTGACAAATTTTTATTATCAGCACAGCATATGGCATCGCTAGGCATTAATAACTCTTGGAAGTTATGTTTTTAAAATAGAATTTATTGACTGATACTCGATATATGTCACATTCAATATTTC